GGGGGAAACCGATGCCCACGTTGCAGTAGAGGCGGCGCACTCGCTGGACGCCCCGCAGGTAGTCGCTCTGCCAGTCGGGCTGCAGCGGCCCCCTGCCCGCGAGGCCCAGATAGGAGCGCGAGAACAGCGTCTCCCAGCGCCTCTCCACCTCAGTGCCGTTGGCCCCGCCGCTCCTCGGGGCGACCGCCCCCCACACGCAAGTCCAGAGTACCAGCGCGGCCGGCAGCGTCATCCTGCAGAGGCGCCCTGACGCAGCCGCCGCGCAGCCGCAGGGGGCACGCGGACACCTGCCTTCGAAACGCTCCTCGCACTACTTCTCGTCGTCCTGTGACATCGCGGCGGCGGCGACGGCGGCGGAGGTTGGTGACGGGGCTGACGAGGCGGCTCAAGGCGCCATGGCCCGGGATCCGAGCGGCGGCAGCTGCGGGAGGGAACGCGTCCGAGCTTGGAGTGGCACCGCCGGCGATGAGCATCTTTCGCCGCCTCGTTCGCGGGCAATGCCGGCCAGTGGGGGGACTCCGCGGCGCATGACAGCTTACGAACTCACCTTGGCCCTGACGCGCTCATCCCTCAGCGGCGTGACATCACCGCTGCGGACCCCAACTCCACCTCAAACACTGAGTCACTGAGTGTGAGACGGCAGGAGGACTACAAAGGAGAAAGAGAAAGGGGGGGGGGGAGTATTCCAAGAGTCCCGGAGAGGCACTTGTGATGCGCACGTTGGGGGTGCTGCACCTCCACACCCAGCCAAGCCAACACAAAACACGAGAGAGACAGTTTCCTTGACTTTCAAAATAAAAGCCCCCTTTACGGAATATATCTGCAGGAACAACTTAATGCAGTGGAAGGACGGTCGTTTAGTTAAAAAAAAAAAACAAAAAACTTTTTGTTATCTCGCAATCTTTGTTGGGGGACCCAAAACTTTGCATGGAAACAGTTCCCCACCATGGTGCTCACTTGAAATTATTTGCCGCTTTCATTGGAAGGAAACTGAACAGTTGAGAGTCACTTGAAAGCAGTTCAGCGCTACCTAATTATCTAAATGCATGAAGCTGCAGTGGCCGTGTCAATGCCGTCTTCTGATGCATCGTTGTGGCAACATGACAGGAAGCAAAAGGACATCCTCCGCAATTTTCACAATTAAAATGCCTCATCTGACATTGGAGAGCCCTTCGGTCGTCTCACTGTCTTCCTTTGGGCGCAGAGGACGGGAGACCAGGACGAGGGGGGGTGATGGAGGGTGGGGGCGACATTCATTGCAGTTGAGTAATCGTGCAACGGAATGGCAGGACGGGTACGGTGTCCGCAGCCCAAATTGGGGACGGGGGGGGGGGGGGGG